TATATTTCAGTTGTAGGTACACCGCGCAAAGCCTTAAACACTCCCATTAATTAACAAAATTATTAAGGTAAAAAATATGTTTCAAAGAGCAGTGAGTAATCTTTTTAATTATAATTACGCTGCCAGACGAGGTCACCTGTATATTACAAAACCTTATTCCCCAAGGAGCTTTTACAATATTACTCATATATTAACGACAATATTCCTTAAGAGGTTTGACTGCACGGATGGCGTAGTGGTTTAAGCGGTCGCCACGCCGCTTCCTACTACGCCGAGTGTTGTGCGTTCAAACCCCACATGGGACGACACTTTGTGTGATCCACAAATTGTTGTTCTGAGTCTGGGTGTTCTTTGTGTCCGTTTCATGTATGTTTGTAAAGTCCCACGCGACACAGGATTTATTCCTAATGCGGGAGTTGTCTTTTTAAAAAAAAAGAACAAAAAGAACAAAAGAGGTAGTCAGAAGCGTATTATAATTTTTTCCACTAAATAAATACATATATACACAATCATTTTTTTGGGATTGAAATATTTGTTAATCCAAGGTGTCAGCTACCTCCATATCAAAGTTTATCATAATCGGTCCAACCGACAACACATGTGATGGGGCAAACCTATTGGCAGCCACCGGGGACCTTATTAATTGGAGGGTAAAATTGGAATCATAATGAAAAGAAAGGTACTACCGATATCATTTATATTAATGGAATGGAAACTAAGCAATAGATTGAGCAGATTGGAGTCGCATACGCATGTTTAGCCGTGGGGGAGCCATGCTGCGATACAAATGGGACGGCTCGACCGGAGTGACACCACGGCCTCATAGAAAACTGGTGTTAAGAGATTCTTTCTGATTCTGGGGTACGACTAACATTATCTAAATAATCTATATATTTACAAAATATATCAGTATGTATATCAGCAGTCTGTTCCATAGCAGAGGCTCTGGCTAGTTTGGGATCAGAGGGCCGTGTGTGAGATGTGTGAGGTTATTATTATATTTAATTCATTCATACGTATTTATTTTTAAATATGATACCTAATACACTTCTTATTATTGAACTACAGATCATTCCTATCGAACCTAACCGTTTCTGGAAAGTAATTATGAACATCCCACAAATTAAGCCAACCAATCCAAGCGTAGTATCAAAATAGCCTGCAGAGTTGAATATCGACTTTATGATTTGATTGTAAAGTTCGAAATGCTCTGATACGAGTGATGTGAGTTACTAGAGCGGATGCAGCCAGGTCATTGATTACGTCACAGTATTGGATGCAGGTACCCTACGTAGGATATAGGTCATAATATGGCTTTATTAAGATTCTATTTTAGTTTTGTTTGTAGGTATATTGGTTGTTGATAGGTGTATATAACTGACATTACGTTTAAAAGGGCACGAGTATCAGTGCACACTTCTTAACATTTCTTTTCTTATGATACTTCAAGTTACCAAATTATTTATAAAGATACACATCTATACAAGTAAATTAAATTGGAGTGTCTGTTTGTAATATTAAAATAACCGCTTTTCACTAAATGCATATGTATGTTTACACGGTACATATGCCAAAACACATTTTTTTACAATTTTTGTCTGTCTGTCTGTCTGTTTGTTTCGGGTAATCTCTGGAACGGCTGGACCGATTTCGTCGGGACTTTCACTGGCAGACAACAAACATGATGATGATGAGAGGTTATAACAACAAACACCGCGGTAGCACCGCGGGTCTCAGCTAGTTTTATATAAATTTTAATGTCTATACGATATTAAGTTAAAAAAAACTCTCGAGAATTTGTTTAATATGTTAGTTATTTTTAAGCGAAGCGAACAAAGGCGCATTAAAAATACACACTACATTTTCCGGAACAAAAACATCCACGGGTATTAAGCTTTGAGTTAAAACGGGTTATGAATAAAAACGGTTTTAAGCTCCATATTTTCAATAGTAACACTTTGAATACTATGAAAGCATAAGCTTGGTATTCAATGCCCTTCCATTGTGTTAATATAAGCTATAGAATGCTGGGATTTAGACAGAATCCCCACAGACCTGCGCGATTTGATAAGCTCGGGCGGTTGTACCTTTTGTCAGATCTATGACAAATGGTACAATATGAATATTGTGATATTCTTTACAGCTTTAGAATAAGTACCTAATTCGTGTTATGATTGTAGAAATTTTGAAAATGAACGTTCATCCCTTATTTTACCCCCTTACTCTCATTTGCTCTCTGTACTTAACACTTTCAATTTGCTCTAAGTTTAAAAAAATAAGCTGTAAAATGCATAAAGTCACATTATTAATTTTACCTGACTAAAATTTTACTCATTTTCTCAAATAAATAAATAACTTTAAAATATTTTTTTTCGTTATTCCACCAGTTGACAGTTGACGGGTATAAAATAAAACTCGCAATAAAAAGTCCTGAGTGTAAACTAAGTCTTAGAAAATTACAGACTGTAAATTTGTTTTATTTCCTCAGCATTTTTAAGTCCACATAAATACTTATAAAAAGAACTCATTAAAACTTCATTCATTTGATAGAAGTTTCTTCGTTACTTGGCTGCAGCATTCATTTAATTAAGTTTCTGTAAACTGACACTAAATTTAGTGCCGTTCATTTCTAACATTTTTTTTTTAATTTAGGATCACATTAAATGTTTTAGTAGAAAATACAATACGTTCGAACGCAATTTTAGCTTTGCGTTGTTTTAAAAAGCTATTATTGTGTTATTTTCTTAATACTTTAGATTTTTAAACTACTTAATTTGAATATCGAATTTATCGTTAATCCTCACAACGAGGTAAATTTAATTTATGGCAGATATAATGAGATTCAAGATGGACAATAAGACGGTGTCAATTATTTTATTTTACCGTATATATATTCTGCTGTATATATTCACGCCTATCTCTAAAGGGGTAAAAAGAGACGTTTTACATTAGGACACATTGCTAGCTATAATTTTTATCGACATAATTTAAAGTGGACTTATTACATTCTAATATATACTATACATATAATTTACCTAACACAAGAATTGAATCCGACAACTCCCTAATACGGACACATAAACGTGCACTTATATATAAAATTCTCGTGTCACAATGTTCGTTCCCGTACTCCTCCGAAACGGCTTGACCGATTCTCATGAAATTTTGTGTGCACATCGGGTAGTTCTGAAAATCGGCCAACATCTATTTTTCATACCCCTAAATGGTAAGGGTGACCCATCCCTAATTTTTTTTTGTTTTGCAATACAACGTTTGCCGGGTCAGCTAGTATAATAAAAAACATCAAGGCTGTCAGTGATGTCTTACAGACTTAATAATAATTAGTTGGGATGATCTGCAAATATATGTTTCGTAGTTTGGGTGTTTTCTATATATAATATGTATGTATTTACAAAAAAAAGGATTTAAGTATTCTATCAGTCAATCTAGCTTTCATAGTACAAGCTTTGCTTAGTTTGAAACTAGATGGCGTTTTGTCAGATGACCGAAATATTATTATTATTTCTGAATATTTTTCTAAATAATATAAAGTGTACTGTAACTTTTAATAGCAATAAACAGTATACCTAAACTTCGAAAATATATCGATTTATTACTTACCTTTTTTTATAGTATAAGGAGGCAAACGAGCAGACGGGTCACCTGATGGCAAGCAACCACAGCCGCCCATGGACACCCGCAACTCAAAAGTCACAAGTGCGTTGCCGCCTTTGGAGTCCCTCCTGCTCGAGTTAGCGGGAGGGTGGATTTAGGCTCCTGTAACCTCACTCACTCAGTGAAAGGCAACGAAAGAATTGTTTAACACCGGTTTTCTGTGAGGCTGTGGTATCACTCCGGTGGAGCCGGCCCATTCGTGTCGAAGCATGGCTCTCCCACGGCTTACCTAAAAAAATTAAATTATCTGAGACGTGGCGTGTGTCCAAAAGGCGAGGTTTTTTACGATCGTTAGAGCATTTGCTCTACTTTTTTTGAGACTTGTAACATTAAGAGTGACGAGGGTATAATGATGCCAAAATATATGTACATACATATATAAATCGTGGAGGGTTAACAAAAATCTTTTTTATAAGAAAGTGGTCAAAGGGAAGAAATCCGATTGGCTGTTCTAGTTCATCATCATCATCAACAGCCTATAACAGTCCACTGCTGGACATAGGCCTCTCCTTAGAAAGGAGGTTTTGGCCTACTATACCACGCTGACCAGACGGATTGGTACAGGGTTTGTGTCAAGTTTTCCTTCTTTTTGCAGTGCTGATGTCGATGCTGATGTTAATTTCGAAAACGAAGAATTCACTTTAGAATTTAATTAGTGTAAATAAGTAGCAAGCGAGAGCCAGGCACATGGATTTTTATTGACCGGAGTAATACCATTGCCCAACAGACAACCTCTGTAAAGCATTTCTTTAGCTGTTTTTCACGGTGTGAGTGAGGGGGAGATAACACAAAGTGCGGCTACGCACTTATGTCTTTAGAGTGTGGCACACGTGTCTATGGGTGTTGGCAATCAGTGACCACCAAATGAACCATCTGCTTGTTTTGCAAATAGAATTCAATATATTGATGAAACAAGTACCCAGCTTAGCACTTAGTACAAATAACTTTATAAAGAATCAGCTTTTGCCAGCGGCTCTGCCTTTTGCCTTTATCAAGACTTTAACTAACCCCATACCAAATTTCATCTGAATCCAACTCCCTTGTCGCCCCCTTCAAGAATGATTTCTGGTATAAAAACAATGCTATGTCCTGTCCCGGAACTCAAACTATCTCTACACCAAATTTCACCTAATCGGTGCAGCGGTTTAAACGTGAAGAGGTAACAGGCAGAAAGACAGATGGACAGACAGACAGACACACTTTCGCATTTATAATATTAGTATAGATGTTTACAATATAATAATAATAATATATTATCAAACTAATCGGTACCTTACTGCTAAGTATTAAGGATTAATATCTAATTATGTATGTTTGGCTTACAGCATACCTGGAACCATACGTGGTGCCAGCTAGCTTGGACCAGCTGTTAGTACCAAGCGAAGTGGTGGGCAACATACGCTTCACCCACCCGACTCTGTACGTGTTCCCTGGAGGACAAGGCGACGCAGCTCTCTTCGGGATTAACGGATTTAATATGCTTGGTAAGTCTTGTCTATTTCTATCATTTATAAATTGTTTTTCTCTGTGTCTATAATAACAATAATAATTTTGTTAGTGTATGATGTGGTACAGAAAAGTTTTATAATAATATAGGCACGATACAAATATACATATATTACGGGAAACCGATTAAAAACTGCTTTGAAGAATATTTTTTTAACTAGTTGTACCCGGCAACACTCCACTGTGGCACATTGCGGTTGTACTGGGAAATGAGAAATTTGAATTGAATCAGTGTAGATTTTTGTGTTTTTGAAGCAAACCAACTTAACAGTTTGAGTATCTATGTAGTTTACCTGTGTCAAGATTGGCTTTATTTGAATTTGACAAAAATATACAGCTCCAATGTTTTTGTGTGTAAAACAATATATCTGGAATAATAGATAAACTTGAAACTGGAAAAAGTATTGATAAAATCGGCTTTAACGAGAGCGAAGTCGCAGACGAAAGCCGTTAAAAGCCTAATTCTTACTAATTCAAGTAAGTCAAAAGGGTAAGTATAGTCGAGCGTCCCATTTACGACACAGGTCACTCGCCTGAGGCACTGCGGTATTTTTCCTTACAGCCTCCTGGCATCGCTCCAACATTCATCTCCTCACATTGGCAAGATTACACAGCTCTCTGAATGCTAAACCTTTTACAATTCCGTTTTACGATACAACTGTATTTTCGAGTCGGTCCCGCGAATTTTGTTCAAGCGATTGTCAGAGAAAAAACTTTCTTTTATTTACCTTTAGGTTGTGGATTTTCTAGAACATAAAGTTAAGACACTCAAGGTTTTTGTCAGAATTTAGTCTGTTTTCTAGGCAATTGTGGCATTTTTTACCATCTGTTAAGTCTAATTAAGTTTAAAACTTTGCGTTCCGTGATATATAATTGTATGCACAGGAATCACTGCGATCACGGATTCAGTCTGAGACCACGGCCAGTGCAACCTAGTCGAAATATTTACTTACCCTATTTATAGACATTACTAGCCTTTACCCGTGGGTTCGCTCGCATGAATGTAGGTTACCGCGGTAAAAAAAAGTCCATAATACAGGCTCTGCCTACTTCGGATTCAGACCGCCGTACGTAAGATGTCAAGTTATGATTGTTAGAATTATTCAATAAACTTACAGTTGTAGATTTCTATATTTTTTCCTTTTTCCTACATAAGACATGCTGAAGAAGAGATATTAAAAAAGGATACTTTCCCAAAACGTTAGGGTTTATAAGATCTATCCCATTCTTAAAATATTTCCTTAACTAACAATGTCTTTGTCACTTAAGGCAAAATTTTATTTGGAGACTTTAATATATTTCCATACAAAATCTCAAGTTATAAAATATATAATCAAGTACATGAACTTTGACACGTCAACAAAGAGTTTACTTATAGCTTGGCATTGTGCCAAAGAATTAGCTGTCTTCAGTACAAAGAGTGTTCCAAGTTGTCTCTGGATTCTTCTTAAGCCCCTTTGCTACATTATTCTGAGTGTATTCTATTTGAAAGATTGTTTCAGAATATTTGTTCTATCTTTTGTTAGAATTTGAGTTTTGTTTTAGAAAGGATAAAGTTTAGATGGATTTTTGATAATTATGTTGAAATACAAAGCGTCGGTGATAAAAAAAAGAAGTTTGAAATACTTATATTGCCATCACATTTACAAACACGTAAATGTAACTTTTATCATTTTATAAATGTTTTGAGATCCAAATTTATAAACATTTAATGTTATAATTAAAAACAAAAAGTGTGATAATACGATCTATGTATCCAAGTATTTAAAATGTTCTTAGTTTATAAAATGAAGACCGGCGACGTGGGTGGTAAATTTCATGATGATCAATAAAATAGGCATCATCAAACATTGACTTTTAAATATTAGAAGTTCATCGTTAGGTTTTTTTATTTTTCAAATAAAACGGCAAACGTAGTGTAGGACGCCCACAGGCCAGGTGGAGTAACGATTTGCGCAAGATGGTTGGCAGGAGCTGGATGCGAAAAGCCCAAAATCGATCTAAGTGGCGTGCAATGGGAGAGGCCTATGTCCAGTAGTGGACTGCGATAGGCTGATGATGATGATGAAATAAAAAGCACTCCAACATTACCTAGTAATGACCCAATAATGACGTTACATTGTTAAGAAACAAGGCGTATTGTTATTTCGAGCTAAAAGGATTCAAAGACTCGGTGATTGTAATGCTGTCAATCCTATTACCGCGAGCACTTTTGTTACGTGATGCAGTAACAATAATTACTACATATCTTTCACTACTTTCGCTAGATTTCGCTGTCACTTACTTCTTTTGCTGTAGGTATATGAAAATAGGCATTCACAACGATAATATATAGTTGCCTACCCGCGTATGGAAGCTCGACCGCTATTTAGACAAAGCAGAGTTGACAGCGCCTCTGTGTTGATTCAGTAATAGGACACGACTAGATACTGTTTCTGTGACGTCAGTTGACTAGACAAATGGAATGGGTTGTTTGTATAGCACTCTGTGGAGGCTCCATGTTGCTGACAGGTGAGTAACGTCTCAATAATAGAAATAGATTGTGTTCTGAGGACTTTGTTATGGAAGTTAGATGAGAATTGATTCTAGGCGAGTCAATTTTCTTCAATAGTGAATGGATTGTATCATCCTTATAGTTAGTTTAGATAACTATAGATTGATAGAGTTGTATTGCCTCAATCTTCGATTTAGGTATTATTTTTCACTTTTAAGGCTAAAACCTTTAATGATATATTAGAGAAATAACTGACGTAAGTAATTACCTCTGCCCTTAGGCGTATGCAACCCACGAGTCACAAGTGCCTTGCCGAATCTTGAATCCTCCCCTCAGAATCAGGGGGAGGAAGGGCTTGAGTCCATATATTTTGTACCTTGAGATTTTGTCAGGAAAAAAGTATTCCAGAAGGATTAAATAAAATCGCTTTTAAGCGAGCAAAGACGCGAAAAATATCTGGTTACTCTATTTATTTGGAGTTCACGCCTCCATTTTGTTTCGTCCTACAAAAGCGACATAATCCTAGTCTTTGTTCATTAATTACAACACCGCACTCTAAGCCTTTTCCGATGAACAAAATATTTACATAGACTTCGTTGTTTTGTCCCCAGCGCTGTGAACCAGTCACGTGCGATAACATTCCACTCTGTTTGTTGTTGGTAATGTCGAGCGATATATATTAGGGATGTTTTAAATACAAACAATGGAATACTTTGAGATGAAAGCGATAAACAACTAATACTACGGTATAGGAACAGACAAGCTTAGTATAAATGTGTTTTCTACAGGCGCGCAGAAGATAAACGCTTTCGGAATAGTTTTGTATTTGTAAATGCAAAAGCAAAAAAATACAGCAGTAAATGTGTAAATTCTAATAGTAATTACTTCACTCTGCATTATCAATGTCATCTTGTATTATGGCGACTGCTTTAAGGAATGATTGATACCAATGAATGATAGCAATTACCACTTTCCGCCATCGGTCAATTATTGCAGGAACGATAGACAAGAATATTGAGTCCATGGACGAAGATAGTACGGCAGATACACGGGCAAATAATACGGCGTGATGTCCTAAGAACATGGGTTAAAGAGTAGAGTAAAGAAGTCTTAAAGAGTGATACAGGAGCCATTCAAGTTTCGTAGAAGAACGATTAATTTTTCATAAATAATTTCAACCTAAACATTCACTGAACTGCGTAAAACATTCCTGGTGCCAATAGATTATACAGAGCAGGCGTTAGGGCAAATACAAAATGTGCATCGGGACCGAATGCCCTTTCAATTTATATTTCAATCAAGAGCCCATAGCGGTCGCACGTGATTTTACCAAGTTTGTTTATCTTGCCGTGTCAATATTGGCAAAGCGAAATTGTTTTGAACCCGGCTTATGGACGTTAAATAAAGTTTTAATTATTTTCATTTGCAGAGGTTTTTTTTTTCTATTAATGGTTCTATTCCTTTGGATATACAGTTGAAAATGTTTTTGTTGGTGGATCAGTTTCTTGACTTTCTTAATTTTGCAAATTTTTTTATAACTTGTTTTATGAAACTACGTTTTCGTCTTTCGTTCTCAGGTGTCTTTTATGTTTAAAATCTTAGTGACTTGTTTGAACTTGATGTCCTTGTATAATTATTTTCATTTGCAGAGGTTTTTTTTTTCTATTAATGGTTCTATTCCTTTGGATATACAGTTGAAAATGTTTTTGTTGGTGGATCAGTTTCTTGACTTTCTTAATTTTGCAAATTTTTTTATAACTTGTTTTATGAAACTACGTTTTCGTCTTTCGTTCTCAGGTGTCTTTTATGTTTAAAATCTTAGTGACTTGTTTGAACTTGATGTCCTTGTATAATTATATCATCATATTAGGGTTTAGAACCACCTCACCTTACTTGTCAAGGAATTGACATATCTAAAGCTTTTCATTGATTTGTACGTCGACGTTTTAACTAAACTTCTAATTGAAGGGAAATAAATGTAAAAAAAAATTTTTGCTAAATTAATTAGTTAATATTTAGATCGCAAAAATCACAGTTTTATAACTACCGAATCAAACGATCAATCAAATCAACCATCAATCAAAATTTAAATAACATTTAATTAAGTGTCAGCGACTAAATTTATTATATATCAATACATTTGAAATGAAGCTGAAATTATTCAGTGATAAGCAATGCTTTCATTCAAAGCCTCATTCACACAACTGACAATTTAAAATATAGTTTACAGTTTAATTATTTAATTTTAATCTCATTTTAAATCACTAAATTCGTGTTAATAATACTAAGAAAGTGCCTTAAGAGAGCCAAATTCCAAGGAACGACAGTCCAAAATCGATTAACGTGTCTTAGGAAAGTCAAGAGACACGACCAATATCAAGTAAGAGTAGGTGGATAATGTCAACGACTCGACACAGAACGACATCCGATCGCCATAAGCGCAGGCCTAGGGTTGACAGGTGAGGCCATCTGTGACCCTAGCAGAAGCGGATCGCACGCACTCTTTGGGAAGTAGAAAGGGAACATCGTCATTCCACACGAGAGGGTCATCTACAAGCCGTAGATGACCCAGGGCCCGGTCAGGCTAATAGGACAAAGACACCATTTGGCCATAAAAAAGAAAACAAGACCTGGTTATAATTCTTATTTCCTACTCTTTTCAGTTGACGGCGGTTTCTCCCGCAAAGCCTGCTGGTGGGATTTCGCCCGTCACTTGGACAGACTTGATGCAGTCCTGTTCACCAGGCTGAACAACTGCTCAGTCTCCGGCATGGCGTCGGTCTTGCGCAGGAAGGCTAGCGCCACCGTATACCCACAGATTGGACATTTCTTCTGTAACTTAGAGGTAAGTTTCTATTTCTTATTCATTATTTCTCAATCCGAATTCTAACTTTGAAAATGACGAACTTCCGTATAATCATCATCATCATCATCATCAATCTATCGCAGAGATTAAAGAAGAGAGAAAGAGAATTAGAGAAGAGATTATATGCTTATTCTATGTTCAATCTCCAGAAGCAACACGTCTTCTAAGTAGTTTTTCTTATATTCTATAATATATCTGATAAATATATTTCTTTCCTTCTACTCTTTTTTCTTTCTACTCCATTTCCGTGTGGTGGCGGATTAAGAATACAGAGTGTCATCACCCCTATTAATCCCAAGGGTGTCGTAAGAGGCGACTAAGGCAGTAAACTACGCAGAACAACAACACTGCAAAAAGAAGGAAAACTTTAAACAAACCCTAAACCAACCCGTCTGGCCAGCGTGGTATAGTAGGCCAAAACCTCCTTTCTGGGGAGAGGCCTATATAAAGCAGTGGACTATTAAAGGCTGTTGATGATGATGATGATGAGATATACTTCTTTGTTTATCCAATGAATGACAGGTACTGGCGCCTAGTAGACGCCTCGTCCAAGGTTGACACATTAGACTACGATACACTTGGTTGAATATTGCTTACTGGTTTTACCATAGCACTAATAATATATTACATATATTAGATAATTGACACAAACATGCAGATAAAGTTTTTGTTTTCATCCCTTTTGCATTAGTTTAAACGTTTTCTATATCCTATCTGTTATCCTGCTGAACCATAGGTAGTGGTTTCGATAATGTAATTTAAGATTTTTTTGTAATACTGTGTGATCAACAAATTGTTGAGTCTGGGTGTTCTGTGTGTCCGTTTCATGTATGTTGTAAAGTCCCTCGCGACACAGGAATATATTCCTTATGCGGCAGTTGTCTTATGACCTAAGTATGTTTATTAGAAGTTTGGTTATAATAGTTACGTGCTCTGCTTAGTTTGGAGTCAGATTGTCGTGTCTAGGATCTGTCACGTTATTATTTTTATTATCAACTATAACCCGCTCTAATGTCAATTGTGTGTGTATTAATTTTTTGCCTGGATAAAAAGTATGTCTATGTGCTGTTCTAAACAATAATCTGTCCATGTGAACAATTTCATTCAGATCCTGTCAGCCGTTCTGGCATTACTGAGTAACAAACATTCATACATCCATTCTAAAAAATGTTTTGCAATTATAATCACTGCACGGATCGTGTAGTGGTTTAAGCGGTCGCCACGCCGCTTACTACTACGCTGAGTGCTGTGGGTGCGATCCCCACATGGGACGACACTTTGTGTGATTTCCAAATTGTTGTTCTGAGTCTGGGTGTTCTTTGTGTCCGTATCATGTATGTTTGTAAAGTCCCCCGCGACACAGGATTTATTTCTAATGCGGGAGCTGTCTTTAAAACAAATGGTAATCAAATTAAAAAACGTTTATCAGTTTTTTTACAAAATCAAATACAAGTTAATTGGGGCTGATATAGATGTGTAAAAAATATTTATCCAATTCAATTTTGGGAGAATAAAGCTCGGTACAAATGGGCGCCTCGACCGTAGTGATACCGGTATTAAGCATTTCTTGTGTTCGCTTTTCACCGAGTGAGTGTAACTCCAGAAACGACCTGCTGGCGACCTGCTCATTTGACCTATTATATAAAAAAAAACATGAAGTTAGCATGTTTGTTGCGGTCACTGATGCATTTCATGTAATCTTTAAATCAGAAGATCTCAGCGCCTCATACGTACACTTAGAACACTTAAAAGTACACTTAAAAATATTCTACATCAGAATCATCATTTAAAGTGCTTTTATGGTTTTTACTTACCCCAAAGCCTGCAGCTATCTCTGAAGTGCTTTGTGATGAATCCGCTACCACAATAGCCTTTAATTCTTCATTTTCCACTTTGGTCTCCGGCCGTCCACGGGGTTGGTTCTGAAGGTCGAAATTTCGAGAACGAAAACCTTGAAACCATAAACCTACCAGCGCCGTACTCTTTATTGATCGACCTGTTTCTGCAGCACTGGTGCCACACTGGTGGTGTTGAACTCGTACTCGTAAATATACTGATATTTCAAGCGTGCTCTAATAAGCGACGCCAAAGAAAAAAATAATGAGTTAAAAACAAATGAATGACTGTTTTCAAAACTCAAATGTACCAGCTAAATGGATTTATAAATTTTAATTTGGAATTCTTAACCAAAAATCAGATATTTCAGATCAAAGTGGTCAGTATGACAAAACGTTAATTTCACATGTAAGGACCTACTATTTATATTTTGACTTTGGTACTCGTATTTCTGTATTGTACGTATTGATAAAAATACCTTTCTTTTATCCGTTTGTCCTTTAGAAGTTTAATATCTTAATAGTTTTTTCTTTTCAGAACTTTTTCTTGTGACAATTAAGTCGAAAAAGTAATAAGGTTTTGTAGTAGTAGGTTTAGTAGGTAGTTTGTTATTACAAATACGAAAGTGTTTATCCTCCATAACGCCGAAACAGATCTGGATATGCACACAGATAGATTATGGTTGGAGTAGCACTTAGATTACTTTTATCCCGGAAAAAGTGTAAAAAAAAACCCATTAAATTTAAAAAGATGGTGACTTCGCTAAGACACTATCTTTTTAACAGTCCAGTTTCATATAAAATATTCAATAATTTACTTTAACCCATTACAGGAACGCCGTATGCTCGCGAGTCCAGATGGTGATAAGGATTCTGATCCTTTACTGGTCTCCCTAATCCAGGAGGGATCAGATATGATGGCAGATTTGCGCCATATTAACCTAAAGCCACAACATTGTTACCGTAATCCAGAGCCCATCAACTTGTATCACAAAGTTGGACATGGTGAGTACATTATAGAACATTTTGAAGTTTATAGAACATTTTGAAGTTGTAAGTTGAAGTAACATAAACTCTGCCTTTAAATCTAAGATAATTTCTTTAATATACATGAATTTGAATAGAATATTTTACTTCATTACAGGTACCCTAGACATGTACGTACTAAATCCGTCCAAGGATTCTAAATACGTTCGTGAATTTCTCAAGAGGTGGCACAACAGTGAACAGAAACTTTTCGAAGGCGCCAGTGTATCGGGACAATTCAATTTCCCGATACCCAACTTAGTATCCATATGTGCGTTACTGGTGTGGCGTCCAGCCAACCCTGACGATACGATAACCAGGATAATGTTCCCGGGATCAACGCCCCAACATAAGATATTTGAGGGGTTAGAGAAACTTAAACATTTAGAATTTCTTCAATACCCAACATGCACCGGACGCCAAATGGCAGCAGCAACAACCACAGTCACTGCCGCAACAACTACAGTCACGTCAATTAAAACTACAACTAAAGCTACGCCTAAAACAAGCAAAGAAAAAAGTATAAGTTCTGAAAAGATGAAAGATGAAAAAATTATGGAACCAGAACCTCCTCCAAAAGACATGAAAGCTGAAGACATAAAGAATATCATAGATAACAAACTTCTCAATGAACTTGTAGATGGAGATGATAAAATTGAGTCTGTTTTATGCGACACTATAGCTGCAAGATTAGAAACAAAATTAGATGATAAGATTGCTCAATACGAGAGCACTGTGATAGATGGTTTGCCTAAGAAAAAGGAAGCTAAAAAGAAGACTGTAGAAAAGAAAACAAAACGTATTGATAAGACTGATGAAGCTAAAGACTCTGTAATTAAAGCCGAACTTAAAAAAATTGATGCCGAAACGAAACCTAAAGTTGAAAAGAAGAAAGTAGACACTCGAAAAGTTGAGATGACATCATCAGTAACTAAAAGTAAAGTAAGTCATCGTGCGATACGATCTGTTTCTGAAAAAAAGACAACTGTGGCTACATTAGACAAAAAATCAACAACGGAAGAAAAAAAATCACCTCCTACAACACCTAAGAAAACACTAGATACAAAAACGACTAGCACTGTATCAGGCGTTAAGGATAAAGTGAAAGTTAAAGCAAGAAAACTTAGCCCAGGAAGTACTACTGCTAAAAGCACTAAAGAAGCAAAGAATCGTATGGTTGTTGAATCCAAATATAAGCAACTATCTCCAAAACGTGACACATCGGCGAAAGCAATTGAGAAGAAAGAAACTAAAGCCAAACGGGAACCTATCTCACGACGACCAAGACCTCTATCATCTCCAGTCAAAGGGCTTAAGACTATGAAGAGCCCTTCTAAATCGATTAAATCCACAAAAACTGATACTTCTAAATTAAAAGGCTTACAAAGAGTAAATTATGAAGATATCTTAAAAGAAGCAAAAAAATCAGATGAAGATACGTCTAAATCTCTTGATGATATTAAACAACAAGAGTTAGATGAAAGAGAAGAACAAGAAATTGTAAGAGAAATTGAAGCAGTATTTAACAGAGACATTGAAGCTGAAGAAAAAGTAGAATTTGTAGGACGATCTGATATTGAAAAAATAACATGCTTGATTGATGACACAAAGACTGAAACGACTGCCGACGGTGAATTTGAAGAAGAATATCTTATTATTGAGAAAGAAGAAGTAGATCAGTACATAGAAGACTCAGTTGTTGACCATGTAAGTAGTCATGAACATGCAGATGAACTACAAAAACATGTTAAAGACAAAGAAGAATCAGAGAAGAAAAAAGATGTAACAGTTTTAGAGACGGAAAAACCTGAAGAAACAAAAGCCAAGACTGAAGTAATCATTGAAAAAGAATTAAAACAAGTTGAATCTAAGGAACACTCAGTAAGTCTTGAAGAAAAACAAGATGTTAGCAGTGAAAAGAAAACATCAGATAGTAAAAGTATTCAAAAACCAAAAGATTCTCTTGAAATGCAGGTTCAAGAGTCTCAGCCGGATGAAAAAATTTCGACAACTATTGAGTCTGGAGCTACTACAGCTCCGACTTTGCCCGAAGATGAACGAATTACTTTGGATGACATCAAAGAAGATCAACAAATAGAAGAGAAACATATACAAGAGGAAACTAAAGAACTAATAGCTCCCCAAGGCCTAGTACACACAAATATAGTATCCTTAGAAAAAAGTCCTAAACTTGAATCAATACCTGCACCAGTAAGAGAAATTGTGAAAACTCCAGATGAAGTAGCCGACTTACCTTTACACGAAGTAGTTGACTACAGGACATTTGAAGACAAGAAAACCCCAGAAGAAGAAGGAATTCAACGTAAAATTTATGAAGTTAAAGTACCTAAAGACCTTCCTATCCCCGACCAAGATGCAACTGTTCCTTATCGAATCAGAACTGTGGAAGACGATATAGTTCTTAAAACTGTACAACGTGCATCTCATGCTGAATTAGTAACTGTAACACCAGGATCTGCACCTGAATCACCAATGTATCATGAACAAATTAAAGTTTCAGTCATTCCTGATAAAGACTTACAAACTGTAAAAGAATATGATGATACTGATTATAATTATGGTCAGTTTACTGAAAAATTACGAGAAACCCATATCACCACAATAGATTCACCTATCAAAGATGATATTATTGTTATCGAAGAAGTCCCATGTATGCCTGAGAAAATTCCATCTATACCTGAAGACGTTGAGAAAGAGATCGAGGAAGCGCGTAAGTTGGAATTGGCAGAAAAACCTCCACTAAGTCCAAAAGATGTTGAAAAAATAGTCGCTGACGTGGCCGAGGTGCTAAAATCAGACAGAAGCTTAGAAGAAATAATGGCTGAGAAATCCCCATTGCTTAGCAAGTCACCAGAAGTCTTCAATAAAATGGACACATCCCTTAGTGTCATTGAAGCAACAAAATTGCTGTTATCAAGTGAACAGGAAATCCAACATGACTCTCGTAAAGAAATCAATAAAACAAAGAGCCTAGCATCGAAAATTGAGCTCGACATCACTGATACTTTACAGAAAGAAGCTTCTCCAGTACGATCAATAACGTCGGAAGATGTGAGTGAAGTTTCTGATAAAACTGTTCTTAGTGAAGGCAAAAGGATAAAACGTGAGCTTTTAGATGAAAAACCGGAACAAAAATCTGTGATAAAAACTGTCACTGATGAAATGGAAGCAGGAAAAATGTATACTGAGTCTCATGATTCTGTTCATGAATATACCGAATCAGAAAAGAAAGTAACGACAGCATTAGAATCTGCAAGAACACTTGAAAAATTAGAAGAAAAAATTGCAGATTTAAAAAAGAAACCCCTTGTCATTGAGACTGACATTAAGGACATTGATAAAAAATCCGCGGCAAAGGAAATTAGCCCAAGCAAAGAAGTGCTCCCTAAGAAAACATTATTACAAAAAGCAGAAACTAAAGCGGAGAAGGTTGTGGGAAAAGTTTCAGCTTTGAAAGACGAAGTTTTTGGATTTTTTAGTAAAAAGTCAACAGAAAAGAAAGAACCTAGTCCAGAAAAAGATTTACTTGATAGAAAAAAAGATACTTCAGGTAAAATAACGGACTTATTGGGACATAGTGAAAAGGAGTCAAGCCTAGTCAAATCTCGCGATGAGATAATTCCCGTAAAATTTGATCAAAATACACATAATCTGATTAAACTAGATAGTAGAAGTGCAAGTGAACAGAAACAACAAGAACCAAATTTTGTTTTCAATGAAGACGAGGAATTGTTCATTGCTGAGCAATTGAAAGACTATGAACCTACTGGTCAACCTGAAGAACATTCATTTTCTCAATTAACTACTCTCTCTGAGAACGAAATTCTAATAAAGCGGAAAACTACGATCACCACTTTGATTCAAGAATATTGTAATACAACTATGACGGTAACAATTTATAAAGTCACGTATTTAACTACTGAAGAGGATGAGCAGCTAGATGGTAGCAAAACTAGCAGAACAATTAGAAAGATTTCTCTTGGCAATGAAAGACCTAAACCTAATCTTGATGCTGATATTAAAAAAGAGGTGCTTAGTCTACAAAAGCCACACAGCACAGAAGTACTGCCCGAAAAGGCAGCAGATGAAGAACTATCCAGCCAACTACATGCTGAGGTAGAACTCGCCTCAAAACCTAATGAAAAGAAGAAAGATAGCCCAATGCTTAGAAAAACGACACCTAGTCCAGAAAAGGCATTTAGCTTAGTATCAAGTGAAGAGGACCACAGGTCTAGACATATGACTACTAGACGGACACCAAGCCCAGTGCCAAGTAAAGAGCTTGGCCCAACGTTAAGTAAAAAAGTGTCTAGTCCCGAGCCGACAGAAAAGGCCGCAAGCCCGGCAACGAGTGAAAAGGCGGTTAGTCCAGTCCTAAGTGAAACGTTATTTAAAAAGGCACCCAGCATAATGCCAAGTCAAAAACAAAGTATCTTGATACCAAGAGAACATAGTCCTACCTCAGAACCGACTGCCAAGTTAGATCAAAAGACATCAGGACCAGTGACTCGTGAAAAAGGTTTTATTAAAACACACGATAAAAAGTCTCCTAGCCCTGTACAAAGTGACGAATCCCTTTACTCAGAGTCAGGTATACAGTCAGCATTTGATAATGAACAAGCTATAGACGAACAACTTAAAGGATTTAAAACGTATGCTAAACCAGAAGAACAAACTTCCACACAGACGGTAACTTTAACTATTGAAAATGTTATAATTATTAGAAAAATAATAACAAAAATCGTGATTGAAGAATATTTTAATATCAACAACACTATAGTTCAATACAAAATCATTAAGATAATAATTGAAGAAGATCAAAATCCTGATGGAACTACAACAAGTCGGACGCACCGCGTCGTCTCACTATCCAAGGATAAACCTGAAATTTCGGAGCTTTTACGGAGCAAATCTTATTTGGAAGAAACAAATGGAAAAAGTCCCACTGGACTGCTTGAGGATGAGATGAAACTCACTCGTGGAGAAGACTATTGTGATGAAGATGGCTTCATAATTGAGAAAGGTCTGATGGATAGAGATCATAAAGTTGTTGCGTTATCAGAAACTAAAAAGTCAATGAAAGATGAACTTGCAATCACCATCGATAAAAAACCACTTAGTCCTGAAATATCTGAAGCTGTTCTCAACAGTGTTCCTGAAAAAGAACATAGTCAAGAGAAGAAGGCTCAGACTGAAGAAGTGGATCAAGAAAAACTTTTTGAACGTCTTGAAGATGATATTTCAGAAACTGAAATTGTTCGAGGCACAGTTGATATAACAAGCGACAATGAAATAGTAGACATTAAAAGAATCTTAAGCCCACTTTCGAGTAAAGAGGATTCAAAACAATTAATATCAGAAAAAGATGATGACGACGAATCAATTAAGGAACATAAAACAATTGTCACTAAGGAAACAAATGAGTTGACCTCAAATTTGAAAATTGCTAAGGATGTAATAGACAATATTTGTAAAGATACTATGCTAGTAACAAGAAAAATAGAACTAGATGAAAATCTAAAAGAGGATATCGTTTTTGACAAACTTGATGAAAAGCAAGTAGGTTTAGAAAAAGATATTCTAAAAAGAAAAGAATGTGCCTCAGAAATCGATGGTGAAGTAAAAAAAGTGTCATCGTTCATAGTCAAAGCTACTCCAGCTATAGACGCTACAATAAAATTACCAGAACTGGAAACTCTTAGTAAGTTAGACCAACCTGAAAAGCCTAAAACAAAAGATAAAATGATTGAAGCTTTAAAGTTAGAAAACGGACATCTTGAACCAAGCCATCTCAGTGAAGAAATGCCAAGTGAGATATCACCCACCCTGAATAAGAAATTAATAAGCCCAGAGTCAAGAAAGGAAATACTAATTGAAAAAGTAGTTACCCCAGAACCAAGAGAGGAGTTGAGTGAAAAGGCACCAAGTGCATCAGCAAGTTATATAACGGCAACTGAGAGGTCACTTAGCCCTGTCTTGCAAGATACAATAGTTTTCGAAAAACTACCTACCATTATCCAGAGTCAGAAAGTACCAACCGAGAAGACACCAAGTGAGAAGTCACTAAGCCCACTTTCAACAGACAAAATAACTATTGAAAAATCAACAAGCGTTATTCCCAGTGAGAAAGTGCCAAGCGATATAGCATTAAGTCCTGCACTAAGTGAGAAATCTCCAATTGGAAAAACCCCTAGCTCTATGCCAAGTGAGAAAGCATTAAGCCCTGTCCCTAAAGAGGAAGTAACGGCTGCCAAACCATCTAGCATTATTCCTAGTGAGACGGTTCTAAGTGAGAAATCTCCAGATGAAAAAGCACCTAGCCCCGTTTCTAGTGAGAAGGCACTAAGCCCTGTCCCTAAAGAGGAAGTAACGGCTGCCAAACCATCTAGCATTATTTCTAGTGAGACGGTTCTAAGTGAGAAATCTCCAGATGAAAAAGCACCTAGCCCCGTTTCAAGTGAGAAGGCACCTAGCCCCATTCCAAGCGAGAAAGCACTAAGCTCTATCCCTAAGGAGGAAATAAAGGCTGCCAAACCATCTAGCATTATTACTAGTGAGAAGGTTCAAGATGATAAGGCACCAAGTCCTATACCAAGTGAGAAATCTCCAACTGAAAAAGCACCTAGCCCTGTTTCAAGTGAGAAGGCACCTAGCCCCATTCCAAGCGAGAAAGCATTAAGCCCTGTCCCTAAAGAGGAAGTAACGGCTGCCAAACCATCTAGCATTATTCCTAGTGAGACGGTTCTAAGTGAGAAATCTCCAGATGAAAAAGCACCTAGCCCCGTTTCTAGTGAGAAGGCACATAGCCCCATTCCAAGCGAGAAAGTACTAAGCCCTGTCCCTAAAGAGGAAGTAACGGCTGTCAAACCATCTAGCATTATTCCTAGTGAGACGGGTCTAAGTGAGAAATCTCCAACTGAAAAAGCACCTAGCCCTGTTTCAAGTGAGAAGGCACCTAGCCCCATTCCAAGCGAGAAAGCACTAAGTCCTGTCCCTAAAGAGGAAGTAACGGCTGCCAAACCATCTAGCATTATTTCTAGTGAGACGGTTCTAAGTGAGAAATCTCCAGATGAAAAAGCACCTAGCCCCGTTTCAGGTGAGAAGGCACCTAGCCCCATTCCAAGCGAGAAAGCACTAAGCTCTATCCCTAAGGAGGAAATAAAGGCTGCCAAACCATCTAGCATTATTACTAGTGAGAAGGTTCAAGATGATAAGGCACCAAGTCCTATACCAAGTGAGAAATCTCCAACTGAAAAAGCACCTAGCCCTGTTTCAAGTGAGAAGGCACCTAGCCCCATTCCAAGCAAGAAACCATTAAGCCCTGTCCCTAAAGAGGAAGTAACGGCTGCCAAACCATCTACCATTATTCCTAGTGAGACGGTTCCAAGTGAGAAATCTCCAGATGAAAAAGCACCTAGCCCTGTTTCAAGTGAGAAGGCACATAGCCCCATGCCAAGCGAGAAAGTACTAAGACCTGTCCCTAAAGAGGAAGTAACGGCTGCCAAACCATCTAGCATTATTCCTAGTGAGACGGGTCTAAGTGAGAAATCTCCAACTGAAAAAGCACCTAGCCCTGTTTCAAGTGAGAAGGCACCTAGCCCCATTCCAAGCGAGAAAGCATTAAGCCCTGTCCCTAAAGAGGAAGTAACGGCTGCCAAACCATCTAGCATTATTCCTAGTGAGACAGTTCTAAGTGAGAAATCTTCAGATGAAAAAGCACCTAGCCCCGTTTCTAGTGAGAAGGCACATAGCCCCATTCCAAGCGAGAAAGTACTAAGCCCTGTCCCTAAAGAGGAAGTAACGGCTGTCAAACCATCTAGCATTATTCCTAGTGAGACGGGTCTAAGTGAGAAATCTCCAACTGAAAAAGCACCTAGCCCTGTTTCAAGTGAGAAGGCACCTAGCCCCATTCCAAGCGAGAAAGCACTAAGTCCTGTCCCTAAAGAGGAAGTAACGGCTGCCAAACCATCTAGCATTATTTCTAGTGAGACGGTTCTAAGTGAGAAATCTCCAGATGAAAAAGCACCTAGCCCCGTTTCAGGTGAGAAGGCACCTAGCCCCATTCCAAGCGAGAAAGTACTAAGCCCTGTCCCTAAAGAGGAAGTAACGGCTGTCAAACCATCTAGCATTATTCCTAGTGAGACGGGTCTAAGTGAGAAATCTCCAACTGAAAAAGCACCTAGCCCTGTTTCAAGTGAGAAGGCATCTAGCCCCATTCCAAGCGAGAAAGCACTAAGTCCTGTCCCTAAAGAGGAAGTAACGGCTGCCAAACCATCTAGCATTATTTCTAGTGAGACGGTTCTAAGTGAGAAATCTCCAGATGAAAAAGCACCTAGCCCCGTTTCAGGTGAGAAGGCACCTAGCCCCATTCCAAGCGAGAAAGCACTAAGCTCTATCCCTAAGGAGGAAATAAAGGCTGCCAAACCATCTAGCATTATTACTAGTGAGAAGGTTCAAGATGATAAGGCACCAAGTCCTATACCAAGTGAGAAATCTCCAACTGAAAAAGCACCTAGCCCTGTTTCAAGTGAGAAGGCACCTAGCCCCATTCCAAGCAAGAAACCATTAAGCCCTGTCCCTAAAGAGGAAGTAACGGCTGCCAAACCATCTACCATTATTCCTAGTGAGACGGTTCCAAGTGAGAAATCTCCAGATGAAAAAGCACCTAGCCCTGTTTCAAGTGAGAAGGCACATAGCCCCATGCCAAGCGAGAAAGTACTAAGACCTGTCCCTAAAGAGGAAGTAACGGCTGCCAAACCATCTAGCATTATTCCTAGTGAGACGGGTCTAAGTGAGAAATCTCCAACTGAAAAAGCACCTAGCCCTGTTTCAAGTGAGAAGGCACCTAGCCCCATTCCAAGCGAGAAAGCACTAAGCTCTATCCCTAAGGAGGAAATAAAGGCTGCCAAACCATCTAGCGTTATTAGTAGTGAGAAGGTTCAAGATGATAAGGCACCAAGTCCTATACCAAGTGAGAAATCTCCAACTGAAAAAGCACCTAGCCCTGTTTCAAGTGAGAAGGCACCTAGCCCCATTCCAAGCGAGAAAGCATTTAGCCCTGTCCCTAAAGAGGAAGTAACGGCTGCCAAACCATCTAGCATTATTCCTAGTGAGACGGTTCTAAGTGAGAAATCTCCAGATGAAAAAGCACCTAGCCCCGTTTCTAGTGAGAAGGCACATAGCCCCATTCCAAGCGAGAAAGTACTAAGCCCTGTCCCTAAAGAGGAAGTAACGGCTGTCAAACCATCTAGCATTATTCCTAGTGAGACGGGTCTAAGTGAGAAATCTCCAACTGAAAAAGCACCTAGCCCTGCTTCAAGTGAGAAGGCACCTAGCCCCATTCCAAGCGAGAAAGCACTAAGTCCTGTCCCTAAAGAGGAAGTAACGGCTGCCAAACCATCTAGCATTATTTCTAGTGAGACGGTTCTAAGTGAGAAATCTCCAGATGAAAAAGCACCTAGCCCCGTTTCAGGTGAGAAGGCACCTAGCCCCATTCCAAGCGAGAAAGCACTAAGCTCTATCCCTAAGGAGGAAATAAAGGCTGCCAAACCATCTAGCATTATTACTAGTGAGAAGGTTCAAGATGATAAGGCACCAAGTCCTATACCAAGTGAGAAATCTCCAACTGAAAAAGCACCTAGCCCTGTTTCAAGTGAGAAGGCACCTAGCCCCATTCCAAGCGAGAAACCATTAAGCCCTGTCTCTAAAGAGGAAGTAACGGCTGCCAAACCATCTAGCATTATTCCCAGTGAGACGGTTCTAAGTGAGAAATCTCCAGATGAAAAAGCACCTAGCCCCGTTTCTAGTGAGAAGGCACATAGCCCCATTCCAAGCGAGAAAGTACTAAGCCCTGTCCCTAAAGAGGAAATAACGGCTGCCAAACCATCTAGCATTATTCCTAGTGAGACAGGGTCTAAATGAGAAATCTCCAACTGAAAAAGCACCTAGCCCTGTTTCAAGTGAGAAGGCACATAGCCCCATTCCAAGCGAGAAAGTACTAAGCCCTGTCCCTAAAGAGGAAGTAACGGCTGCCAAACCATCTAGCATTATTCCTAGTGAGACGGTTCTAAGTGAGAAATCTCCAAATGAAAAAGCACCTAGCCCCGTTTCAAGTGAGAAGGCACCTAGCCCCATTCCAAGCGAGAAAGCACTAAGCTCTATCCTTAAGGAGGAAATAAAGGCTGCCAAACCATCTAGCGTTATTAGTAGTGAGAAGGTTCAAGATGATAAGGCACCAAGTCCTATACCAAGTGAGAAATCTCCAACTGAAAAAGCACCTAGCCCTGTTTCAAGTGAGAAGGCACCTAGCCCCATTCCAAGCGAGAAAGCACTAAGCTCTATCCCTAAGGAGGAAATAAAGGCTGCCAAATCATCTAGCGTTATTAGTAGTGAGAAGGTTCAAGATGATAAGGCACCAAGTCCTATACCAAGTGAGAAATCTCCAACTGAAAAAGCACCTAGCCCTGTTTCAAGTGAGAAGGCACCTAGCCCCATTCCAAGCGAGAAACCATTAAGCCCTGTCTCTAAAGAGGAAGTAACGGCTGCCAAACCATCTAGCATTATTCCCAGTGAGACGGTTCTAAGTGAGAAATCTCCAGATGAAAAAGCACCTAGCCCCGTTTCTAGTGAGAAGGCACATAGCCCCATTCCAAGCGAGAATGTACTAAGCCCTGTCCCTAAAGAGGAAATAACGGCTGCCAAACCATCTAGCATTATTCCTAGTGAGACAGGTCTAAATGAGAAATCTCCAACTGAAAAAGCACCTAGCCCTGTTTCAAGTGAGAAGGCACCTAGCCCCATTCCAAGCGAGAAAGCATTAAGCCCTGTCCCTAAAGAGGAAGTAACGGCTGCCAAACCATCTAGCATTATTCCTAGTGAGACGGTTCTAAGTGAGAAATCTCCAGATGAAAAAGCACCTAGCCCCGTTTCAAGTGAGAAGGCACCTAGCCCCATCCCAAGC